CCCGTACGCAAATAAGAAGAAAACAGTAGATCCACGCAATTCGTCGATACTGAAGGGCTGTTTAGCCTCACTCTAATACAACTTAACCCAGGCCGACCGAGCATTCCACCATATTTGCATTTGGTACTTACGCGAGGAGGTGTGCTGGAATGTCGAGACTCGGGTAACGCTCGGGGAATGTTCGAGACTCCGAAACTCAGAGATTGCTAAATAAAACAAAGTAATGCACGACAAATTGCGAGAACTGCATATTGGTTTCAGGAAATTTTTGGGTAATCTTTCAACGTGGAGTATAAATACGAGCAATGAGAGAACATTAGACAACAACGGGCTAACCTAGGAGAAGGCAAAAGAAATAATTTGAAAAACTGAATCTGTTTACAGTCAAACCTTCCAACTAGCCCATAAAACTAAAGCAATGCGCCTCGCTTTGGTTAACCTGTTTGGTGTTTTTATAAGTAACATTTTGGTAATATGTTTTTCCCGTTTTCTCTCATTCATGTTCCACTAACTCCTCTTGACGTTAGCATTCAAAGAAATAAGGGCCTCGGGAATCGAGATTCGGGACTGGGGATTCGGGATTAGGGACTCACGATTCCAGATTCGGGAGCTTTAGTTTATGAATTGTGTTATTTTATCTGTTAGGTTTAAGAGCATGTCCACGAGAGCACCAGGCATTCGTGCTACATGCCATCTCACTGATTTCAATGAAACTTTGCCAGTTTGAAGGGTCTACCCCAAAACTCAAAATGACAAACTGGTTTCTGTTTTGGTTTTTTCTGAGGGGAGATAGACCAACCCCCTCGGTTTTTCTTGGTTTTCACCAAGGAAAACCACCCAAAATAGGTTAAACGTATGAAGCTCTCACTGCGATGGTATTTAACCAATTACTCTGAGAGTTTGCACACATATTTTTCCATCCTAAGTTAGTGTCCGCCGTGGGTATCAGTCAATTTGATTGACGGCTTGTCAATCAACAAAGGCAAATAAGTGACTGTGGTTTTAGACTTTTCGATTCATCCAAATATTTGACAAGTTTGAAGTCAAATATCTTCCCTTGCCAGAAAGCTACAGCACTAATCTTGATTCCCCTTTATAACCCATCATTTCATCTGCGACTGTAACAAGTTTCTCTCAACTACACTAGTCACGCAATTCTTGCTCAAGGCGGTCACTTGACCAAATAAACCTACATTTTTCAGCTAATAAGATAATTGATCAAGAAAGGTAAAAAAAGTGAAAAACTTTCAAGATTTTTTGTAGGAATGGAAAATTTCACGTTTAGAGAGATGCACGTAGGCGAAAAATCGATGAAAAAATCGTGGTGTTTCTTTATTCTGTCGTTTATTACTTTGGAGATTTGCTAAAATCAGCAAATGTGGCTTTTGTACGGCACAAAACATTCATTAGTCTATAATTTAATTGTTTATCATCATCATTGCTCACTTTAGGAGATTTTAAAGTCACACGCTGCGTGTTGGTTGACATTATTAAAAGTTCCAGTGTGCTTCAACTTCGGCTTTTACAGAGGAGAAATTCTGCGCTGTCGCTAGAGAGCAAATACCAATCGTTCTATCAAACTAAAAACTGTGCTTCTAACCCGAAAATAAAGTTAAAATAGAGTTATCTTTGTCACTTACCACCATCGAATATTTCCATGCCGAACTCCGCTAAGCTAACATCTGTTGCGTGACCCGAAGGCTCTCCGTAAGAATTATTCAAGCGCGATGTTCATGCTGTCTACTGGATAACAATTTTAGAATGATCTGCAGATCTCCATGATTATTTGCTTGCTTCGATCGTAAAATATCTGCATTTTTTTTCAAGCACTCTATTACTGCATATAAATCTACATCTCTCTAGATCGAGTGTTGCCGGCGTTTAATTGCGTGACTTGTAAAATTTATTGAGAATGAGCCAGCAGTATTTTGACCAGTAGGCTTCCTGCAAATTTCCCTTGATGAAAAAATCCCAAGACATAGTCAGTTGTATTCGTGAGCAAAGACAATAAATATGAAAGAAAAGTGAGATGCAAATCTTTATTTTTTTTTAGCTTAACAGCAGCTGTACCCTCTCCTGCAGTCTTCGTCTAAATTTTGCAAGGTCCCGCCTTATCTTCTGCCTTGTTCGGTCAGTTTCGACTTCTGAAGCTAGATCATCGGCGGCCTCTTCGTCCTGCTCTATCAACCGGTCAGTCTCAGACAACATTTCTGGCTGGTGTCGTCTCTTATACTCGATATTTGGAAAGTCACATTAGAGGCGGTTGCCTTACAAGTTTCCTACCCTGTCTAGCACACGTCTAGGAAATAATTCTTTGCTTTCTGAGAAAAGGTGGCTGTTTTTTAGTGTCTTCCAAAGAGCCCATCCAAAGTCCACTTGGCTATTTAGGGATTATTCGTCAGAACTTTACCTGAATTCCGACCTTGAACGTAGCCACAGCCCCTATAGAATGGCAAGCCGGTCTTCGTCCATATCCTCTTGATCCTATCATAGGCAGATTTTTTTGTCAGCTTCACTATGTTTGCCTTTGTTAGGGTGCTTTTGGATGGCAGCCAATGACTGAAACGTCTCGATACATCCTTCTTCTTGGCAAGAATATCTCGCTTTCTTGTTCTGTCTGTGACGGATTGGGTACAGTTCTCGCGATGACCCGCGTTCAGAGATGTGTACACTTTGCTAGTAACCACCCGCGTCTACGATTAGTTTGCTGAGGGTTTCTAATGTGATGAGCCTAGTGAGACCCTGAGGAGCTCCAAACTGTACCAGTTGGTCTACGCTATAAACTTGTCGCAGTTCTAAAGTCAGAGGAAGGATCGCCCACCTCTATTTATGTGAGCGCCTATACAGTACCAGTGTATCCCTAGCAATCATATGATATAAAGTTCATCTCAGTCACAAATCACCAGTACGCAGTTCTATTAGGTTTACAGTCACCTTGCCACTAGGAAGACTAGCCACTAGCTTTGATTTCTTCTGCCATCTTCAGATTTACCTCTCTCTCAATGTTACGTCTCCGATTTTTATGAGGAGGATACTGGCATTTACGAACCCGAAGGTCTGAATCTCACACCAAGTTGTACACGATATTTAAGGCATATCTTATATCATATATATTTTAATAATGTCAACCAACAGGCAGCGTGTGACTTTAAAATCTCCCAAAATGAGCAATGATGATGATAAACAATCAAATTATGGACTTATGAATGTTTTGTGCCGTACAAAAGCCACATTTGCTGATTTTAGCAAATCTCCAAAGTAATAAACGACAGAAAAAAGAAACGATACGATTTTCTCATCGATTTTTTGCCTACATGCATCTCTCTAAACGTAAAATTTTCCATTCCTACATAAAACCTTTTCACATTTTTTACCTGTCTTGATCAATCATCTTGAATAAAGAGCTGAAAAATGTAGGTTTATTTGGTCAAGTGACCGGAGAGAAACTTGTCACAGTCGCAGATTTTAAAAGGCATCCAAGACAAAAATACGGTAGTGCCCAACGATTTTTTTGATGATTTTCAGAGATGAAATGATAGGTTATAAAGGGGAATCAAGATTAGTGCTGTAGCTTTCTGGCAAGGGGAGATATTTGACCTCAAAGTTGTCAAATATTTGGATGAATCGAAAATTCTAAAACCACACGGTCTTATCACCCCCCGGAAAAACCAAAACAGAAACCAGTTTGTCTTTTTGAGTTTTGGAGTAGACCCTTTAAACTGGCAAAGTTTCATTGAAATCGGTGAGATGGCATGTAGCACGACTGCCTGATGCTCTCATGGACACGGTCTTAAAACTAGGTCACCAATTGTACATCATTTTTTTCTTAAACATCGTCGATAGCGAGTGTAGCACCATCGTCAAGATTTCACTTTCCTTACGTATTTCCTGTCTGAATGTTTTCACTGGCAACACTTATACTTATCCCAGCCGTGGCATTATTACTCGGTACTAAAAGATTTGATTCGTTTCCTGGTGCAGCCCAGTTATTTGCATTACTCATTATCCGTGAATTCGCATGACGAGTCTGCAGAGTTAATAAATAAATTAGAAAAATAAATTTTTGTAACCACAGGGTCTGTTAGATACACTGGCATGAGCATTAGGCATGTGTAATGCGAATTGTGCGACGAAGCAAGGGCGTTGCAGGGGGGGGTCCTTTAGTCTCCCTCCTCCCTCCCCCTTTGCAAACCTTTTTTTTTTTTCAAAGTAAAACACGGCATGGAAGTCGACATTACAATCTGGTGGGCCTCCACCCCCCTTCTTTCAGCAATCATGTCTACGCCCCTACTCAGGAAGTATTACGCTCCCAGCCACCTAAGAAATCCACCTTAACTAGTCACTTCGTAATTCGTGCGACAATTGTTTTTTTTTGCGTGAAGTTTTAAGTGGAATCTCGTCTCACCAGACAGCATAGATTCTTCTCAGTTTGAACTAAAATTTAACATTTTTCCGATCCATTTCGCAACGGCAAGTTCATGATCGTCCATGCTAGCAGCGCTTACAGTGTTCCAGATGCCCTGCAGTTTTGAAGTTTTGCAGTATCTATTAATATTGCTAAGTCATCTTCTCTCTCCGACTGAGCGACGCACTGGTATTCTCTAGTTAACACATTAAACATAGCGCTTTGTTTCATATTCTGATAATTGTGTATTGGCTTCAGTTTTAAGGTAAGGCTCTTTAATAACAGTGGCACCCAGAAAGGCTTCGTAGGCCTACTTCTCTACAGACTTTATAGCAGGAGACCCCCATTATTTAATTAGTCTAAAACACCTGGTGTAGCTTATCCTTTTCGGAAGATAAAAGCGGTGAAGAAAAAGCCCTTGTTCTTTTTCCATGAATGAGAAATCATATTGGATTCTTCTCTATAAAACACTGCATGTTCTAACGCTTAATTCCAATTTTATTTCAGATAGTAAGAGAACAACCATCAAAGCAGACTCAACACTGTGAAATCTAGCTTATCGCTAGATATATAACGCCGCACATTTTTATTGCGGGCACCAAAAAATCTGACATACACTGAAATTCACACTGGTCTAGTTCCCATTTTAAAATAAATGCTGATTTATTTGAACATCTTTCGCGTAACAGTAATATATCTAATTGAAATATTACAATAAAAAACCAAAATATAGTAATGTCATATTGTTTTAGAGTTTGTTAGGTTCTTTTAGGTCAAAACTGAAGTCATAGCGTATCCTCATCGCCTCTCTACCGCTGGTCCTAACAGGTTTTTATCGTTGGTACGTTTTTTTTCAATTGTTGGTAAATGATGGCTTCCTTCTTTTCGTCTATTTTCCACGGATATGGATTCAGTCTTTTGATGACAGAGCTTCTCGGCTAATTGGCAAAATTGCTTGAAGTCATCCTGTGCATTAGCCTTAAAAACAAGAAGACAGAGAGAAAAGGGTCATAAAAGTTAATGGCATTCACACATAATTATACATGCGGTGACTTTGTTACGATACCAACCCTCTAGAATATTTCGTTCAGCTTTAATACGAAAAAGAGCCTTTTCTCCTTAAAACATTGCATCGCTAAAGTATTTTCCAACGTATCCATTTATTTTGAAAAAAGAGTGAACCTATGTTCAGTTTTCAACGAGTTAAACCCTTTTGACCCCTAAGAGGCGAGCATCTAATATCTCCTTATAATCTCACCTCCGAATCATTCACACACCAGAATATAGATTGGTTGTTAAACAAATTTTCTTTGTCAGCTGCTTAGAGAACAGTATGGAGAATGTTCATGCTGATGTTAGGGCGTAAAAAGATTAAGAAAGACGATTGAGGCAACAACAAACAGCAAAAATAAACTTAAAGAACTCTTTTGTAATGGTAAATGCCAATGATTTTACTTCAGCAGAACGGCTTCTTTTTTCTTTTGTTTTCCTTTGAGTTCTTTTCTTTTCTTGTATTTTTAACACTATCACTCATTAAAAAAAATTTTTAAAGCGTGAAGCTACGTACCTTTGACTTAAAAAAAAAAGAACGTCGTCGAATAGTAAAAACAAACAAACAAACAAACGATCAAACATGAACAAAAACAAACGAATTCGCAATTTGCTGCCGGAAGATTATCACCTGGTGTTCAAAAAGGAAATTGCGCACAACTGATGTTTTAACATAACTGAAACTAAATGGCCTTGTAAGAGTGGAGAAGGAGGAAAAATACCGGGCTATCTTAGATACATTTTTACCTTTTATCTTTCATAGACAAACATTGAAATTCAAACCAACAGCGTGTCGTGTAGTAATTACCACAGATTGCTTTGATTTTCAGTAAGAATATCGGAATTGCTTTTTGTGTTTGATGCGCTTATCAATTCTTAGTTACTTGGATTTTTTTAAGTGAAATTTAGAAGTAAATAGAGAAATGGAGACAAACTGGAGCTTTTTACAAAAATAAACTGTCGTTAGGATGTTGAGTTGGACGAAATGTCCTAGTGGAAACCGGCCCTGAAGAATATAACGAGTATCTTCTTTAAATTCTTAACCAAAATTTTTGTAAAATTGGTTATGAAATGCGATGAGACCACTTTGATTAACTTAACGCACACTTTTACTTCTCAATAAGTACCTTTCGTATTGAATCTCGTTTTCCATGGCTAACGTTTGCTAAAAATGCCATCGTTGATGATAAAAAGAGCAGAAAAAAAATCAAAGGCAAACATTTTGAATCCATGTTAGTGATCACCGCAAGAGAATTTTGGTATCAGCCAAACGCGATGACCGTATCGCTATGGAAGAAAACTAATTTGACTTTTCGTTGAGTTCTTCGCCAGTTTGTTGAGGGACTTCAGAGGATCAAAATGTGAAACTGTTAGACGAGGAATATGACTCGGTAGCGATTGATTAAATTGAATTTAAAAGGATCGCTTGAATCATCTAACGTATTAAAATTCTTAATCCTTTTCAACAAGCTAATCCAATTCACACGCAAAACGAGAAAAGGATCATATCAAATGAAGGTTTCTTTCGGACCGAAACAACGCTCACTGAATCGCTGTTTATGGTAATTTCGTAATTTCTTCGCTTAAAAAAAATATCAAATTTATGGAGCATTCTTCTGAATAGAGCTATCAACATTAATGACGGTATGAAACAAATCTGTAAAAACCAGCGTAAGTCAAATACAGACAGTGACAATCTTTCAACCTACACAAAAGCTAAGAAAACGCTAAGAATCTCTGTACCAGACAGGAGTAATATTACCTAATATACATTGTTCGCGTATTGAGTGAGTATCTGTATGTTTTCTATGTTTTATACGATTCAATTAAAGACTTAAAGTATATGTATTAGAAAAAAAAGATGTGATCACGTCAAGATTGAAAAAACAAACAATCTAATTTAGACCGTGTCCAAATATAAAATTTTCTATTTTGATAAATTTGAACGCCACGTTATGAAGACAGATCTATCTAACCAAATAGCCGGTGAAGAAAAACAAACATATTTTGTTACAAATCATTAAGCTTTAAATCATTTTTCAGAATCCTTAAACGAGTTACATTTCCTATAGTTCACAAATTAACGAAGATGACGGTTTAGCAGAATCACCTTTCGACAGTGATAAAGTGTTTCACTAAATGATGCGGCAACCTTGAGTAAACATGTCGCCGCAGCAAAGATTACGAAGTTATGTACTCCTAAATTGAAAACAATTTAGGATTGGACATTAAATTAAACCTAAATGCCAGTAAATACCTCTTGTAGCAAGCCGCGTTTACCATGCCGTATGCTTGGTAAAAATGCCATTGTTAACGATAAAAATAGGAAAAGTAAAATCAAACTAGGGAATTTTGTTGTCATGCTTAAGATACACTTGCCAACTAGATTGTGAATTGAAGCAGATTCACCATGTGTCGAACACAAACATTTACGACCCATTTTAAACCTTCTTTTCCCCTTCGCCGCAGGCGTTCCGAGTCTCACGCTGAGAAACGGGGGACTTTCCGATAAGGGAAAGTGTTTAATTTAATTACACGTGGATTGATGAAGTCAAAGGGGAGTTTCAACTCAGCCTCCGTAATGCTAAATACCATCTAACAGACATCTGCCTCTTAAGATTATCATATGAAAGTTTAAAAAAGAGAGACTGAATTAATCGAATGAGTTATTACTTGGTAGCAAACAAGTTAAAGACGCCGATTTAATGAATTTAGTGGAAAAAGGACTGGAGTGTTTACATTCGCTCCAGGTTTTTTTTTTTTTTTTCTATCCTTTCTCCTGTTCCGCTACTTAGACGTAAAGTAAATTTGAAGAATTACCATCCAATTTTCTTTAATAAACCTATATTAGCTCCAGTTCCTTATAATCCTGCTGAGTTTCGCTGACCTTAACCTGACACTTACCCCATGTTCACTCATCGTAAATAACTTCCCTAAGCTTTATTTTAAGAAGAATTTAATCCTTCACATGATGTCGCTTTGTTTTCCTTCTAAACAAATTACGATGTTGTCCCAAGTCTTTCGATTTGCAAGAATCAAATCCGATTAATGTACAAGGAAGGATGTAGGTGTATTAAAGCTGATTTCGAAGATGATTTACATCATGCATCAATATTACAAGGGATTCAAAGAACGTTAATCTGTAATAGCTACCTTCTCCACCAAGTTGCGTTTGCCAAACCGGTAGCTCCCTAGATATGCCATGGCTGGAGATAAAAACAAAAGGAAGAAAACGAAGCTCAGGAATTTCGCTCCCATTTTGGTAAATTGAAGCCAACGCGATTTAACTTTCCAATCAGCAGATGCTTTCTCTATGTGACGAATTGAAACTAATTCAACTCTTTCTTAAAGCTTTTTGCCCAATCGCCGCAGGCTCTCGGAGTTCCGAAAAGGTATTTTTTCGATAAGCAACAGAGTTTAATTTCATCACCATTTCATCTCATTAAAGAAGCCGCTTGATTCATCTTCGTGTATCCGCCCACAGCACTAGATGCCTACCACTTCTTGTGAGATGATATTTCTGTTGGAACCCACCGACGGCGACATCAGCCACCTACGGCGTTAAGTCATGAATTAATAATAGAGCTCACGGAAATCATGGAAAGTCTTCCTGGATGTATCGAAAAGAATCAAACATACCTAAATTTATTCGACCTCTTTTGATATCTCAACTGAAAATTGAATTGATGCTTTGTTAAATTTATCCCCCACTTGTTATTTTTTTTATTCAAATGATTGTATAGGCTAAAATACAGGCATTCTTCCTTCCTGCGAAAATTACATTTTTGTTTAATTTTGATGCCTAAGGGTTTTCATGACAGCTGCTGCTAAACCACTTTTATTAAAGTTTCTTTTCTTGAGAGCTCAAGGTATTCTGACGGAAAAAATAAATTTTTAATACCAACGAGACTGAATCAAATTCCCAATCAAAATAGCCGAATTCAACTCAAATCTGATGGATATGTGAAGAACGATCTTCATTGCATGGCTAGAGAGGTTTCTAACAACATAAATATTTCATTCAATATGTAAGACAGTTTTTGTTGAGATAAATGGATTAACAAGAGTTTATCCTAACGCGTAATATGGTACACGGATTAGTCCTACGATCCAATTTCTTTTTTTTTTTTAGAAGTTCACGATTATTAAGCACGTTCCTCCTACGATGAGTCTCAAACCACTTGTTTGGACGTTTTGATGTTTCATAGAGGTTGAATTGGACAGTAAATGCTCCCAAATACAACAGGCGGATATGTTTAAAGACTTTAAGCTAAGTAGGAAATGAAATTCTTTCTGTCTCTCAGTATAATCTTTCATTTGCATAAGATAATCTCAACCACCTTGAAAACGATTTATTTTTCTCCAGCAACATCCGATGTGGGTTTATGAAACTTTTTCCACAGTGCCGCCCTATCTCGCTTATTAACAATCATGCGTTCCAGATAAGCATATCTCTATCGTACAGAAGGATAATTAGATACGATGATTATTGCACGGTGATTGTTCTTAGAGAGTGATATCTAATAAAGATACAATACATTATATAGAAAAAGTTTTTTTTCTTTACTGTACGCACGCGTTACGAACCTATGCAAAACAAGTTCCCCCTTACTACTTTGTTGGTTTTTCCTGTTGATTGAATAACATGTGAAATTTTCTAGATGATATTTTCATATTTTCCAGAGTAAGCTGGCAAGGACGAACGGGAAACTTCGTATTTCAATGATTGCCCTCCTACCTTACACCTCAGTAAAAAGTCTGACTTATCTTGCAACCTTAGCTACCAGCACGACGTTTATAGATCTGCTTAGCATTTTCAATACCCTTGTCGGCTCGCCTAAAGGAATTATAAACCCTACCTGGAAATTAGCACAAGGCGTTGAAATCACTCGGTCAACTTTGAACTTTATATATTCATGATCTTAAGACAGATACAACGGACTACATGTCAGAGAAATCAGTTTCTACCACCGAAAATAGAATATTAAAAGCGTCTGCTACAGTTCACCGCGCATGCGTTCATCGGAGCATCTGGATCATGATGCTAGTATCAATGTACACTCAAACATGCTCTTCTCCTTTCTTAGCGCGGAGAGGAGGAAATTTTTTGTGTCTGAGTGTGATTTAGTTATTTCAAAGCTTGCAACTGTTCTCCAATTTTTCGTGGTCATTTACCGCAGATAATTTTATTTCACCCTTTCACTTTTGGTATCCATCAGTCATTCTCCTTATTTTTTCTTAAAACTTCCCTTCAATATTAGCGGTTTTTTTTTTCATTAAACAATATCCCCTTGATGATATTTTCCTCTTATCATCACTTTCTTGTTTGCTTGGCAGTGTACTGATCGTGGGAGTGAAAAGTTTCATGATCCAGTTGTTGATCATGAAGTGATCCGATCTCATCCTAGCTAACCGAAAATTATTTTGAAATTTAATTAAACAAACTGAGAAGTGAAGAAAAGTAAAATCTTAAAGTTTAATCAGATTTTGAAGATTTTTTTTCACCTTTGTTCAAATTAAATCGTGCTTCTTGAAACAAATCCGCTTGTATTTCTGAACTTTATAAAATGACCGTTGTGTTTCTTCGTCAATATTCACAGTAGAGAACTTTCACTAATATCACCCCCAAGTAGGGAAATTTACCCGAAAAGAATGGTCCGAATAGAATTTTTAATAGTTTTGTCTGTTCTTCTAATCTGTTCGTTCAGTCTGGTGAAAGAAACAGCTGCATTTGCTGCGGGTTTGCGATATGGGAAAAGGACGCCTGACTCGTTCGAGTTCACAGAGAAAGGTGGCCCTAATGTACAACTGGAACGACAGATAGGTACATCATTTTATTTCATGTTCTAAAATGTCTTTAGATTGGTAACCAGGACTTGAGCATATCCGGGGGAAAAAACCTCTTGTCACATTCTATATTCTTAAAAAAATGCTAAGAAATAAGTTTTGCCAGAAATTCCAGGGTCGTAAAAGCAACATTGCAGAAGATCATGTAATGTTATATTTTTATCACAACGATATCATGTATGGTTAAATTGGCGTCGAAGGATTCTGTGATCGGTGTGCCAGCTGAAGGCAGTTTCAAAATATAACTAATAAATAGGAAATAACAAATAAAACAAATAAATATATGAGTAAATATATAAATTAATAAATAAACAGATAAAAAAAATCAAAGTCGAATTTATGAAAAAGCAAAAGGCAGGGGTAAAAACCGGATTGAAATCAAAGCAAAGCATAAAAAACTGGCAGAGCTTAAAAACTGTTCCTCAATTAACAAAGTGGTGCGGACACTTAGAGAAGAGACTGCCATGAACAAATTAAAGTTGTCCAGAAGGGGGAGAGTTTCGAACTGGGAACCAGACTCAGAGTAACACGCATAGCTTTCAATCCTTTACAGGTTTCGCAGACCGTTTATTAATTATTAGCGGCTACCAGTCAGAAGTTAGAAGGGAAAAAGTACAATTTCTAAGTCGACGTTCTGTTTCCACTTTGAATCCACTTTCATTCGTTCACAAAACATATAATTAGCGATAGCTGTCAATTTCCTATACTTTTTCTCAGGAGATATTAGGTTATCAAAGCTTCCTGTCGCTAGCCTCGGAGGAAACGAATATCACTGGCCAAGATTTGGACGCTCATCCAACAAGAAGAATCTGAGGCTTCAAAACTGATGACACTCGACGAAACACTTCGATCAAATTTGACAGATGAAAACATTGCGCTGAAACGTCAATTCCAAAGGACTATGCAACTTCCTGAGAACAAATATCTTACTTTAATTACTTTTACCGTACTGCCCTAGAATTGTCCGTTCGATTATTAAGCAAATGTAGCCCAAGCAATCTTAAATAAAAGTTTAAAAATATGAAACCTTGTCTAACTAACTAAACTTTTAACGATAGAGAGGTTGGATCCAACTCCCAGCTGAAATACTTGAGTTTGGTTTGTTCCTCTTCTATTTCCTCCCTTACCTTCCTGGGAGGGAGGCGTATGATCGGAAAACATTTTTCGAACTCAAACTTTGAAGTAGATAGCATTGTTTACAGTTAAAAAGGTTTTTGAATCAACAGATACAAAATAGTGAAAATGATAAAGATCATTACGTGGACTTTCTACTTCCTCAGGGATGCGAAAAGAATTCTTCGCGAAAATTTGCCATGAGGTGTTTCTGAATAGCATTTGTAAGTTATCTGGTTCTGGTTCAAGGACACTCAATTGAAATTTGCTTCAATCAATACTAATAATCAAGCCATTAGTTTGGCGACGATCTAACCGTCACTTCACTGTAATTGTGCTTAACGGGAAACAATTGTTCTAACCTTGTGCGCGCTTAAAGGAGCGAAGTTAAAGCAGCTGAGGTTATCTAACACTTCCGTTATAATTTTTTGCTCAGAATAATTAAATTAAGTCATGTACCGTTCTAAGACCGCACTAAGCTAACTCTTCGGTCGCCAGATATCAAACGCACTCTGCATGAAATTTTTTGAGCCATTTTTTTTTTTGTATTGTTAATCCTACTACTTGTTTGGCGATATTCTCATGGCCATTGATTTGTCATTACAATTAATAGGGAAATATTGCTCCAACCTTGCACTTACTTCCGCCATTCTCTCAAAGGAATACAGTTCAAAGCAGTCAATAACTGAAGTCGTGAAAGTCTTACACCACACTTGTAAGTTTCTCCATCGCCCGATGATACACGCGCTCTTTTCTTGTAAGCTGTTGCTGTTGGCAATCTCTTGAGAATTTTTTTTTTGTCCTTAATTCTGATGACAGAAAACAATTTAACTAACAAAAATGGTACAGCTAAATTATTCCCCACCCGTTTGTGTCCATTAAACTTAGGTGGACTTACATTAATTGCAGCGTCCATTGCAACGACAAACACCATCACAAACACAAAGCAAACACTTTTTTGTTCATTGCAGCCGTTTCACTTCTGTTTGAAAGGATTCTAATACGAACTTCTTAGTTCTGAAAAAAGCGGTTTGTGAAGAATCTAGATATGATACACGAGAATTAAATTATATGGAGAAATATCTCTTCTCACAGGTTGACTTCTTAGACGAGAATCAAAATGTTTTCTTAGTGACTGAAAAAGCAGACCAACAATACTACTGAATGAAGGCTGCATTTATACACGTTTTAAAAAGCCACGAAATTAGTGATAGAACAATCAGTGCTACCCTTAAACGTTCAGTTGGCGCCCTAGAAATAATTCATGCGCTAATGGTGATCATATTTGTTGTATATAGAAGATTATAATTGACATTAAAAATCATTACTACAAACCCAAACAGACCATTAATACCGAATTGAATAGTTCTAAAGCTAAACGCTTGCACGTATCATTAAAAGGAAGTCGTAAAATGTTTATCGAAAGTTAAACTCTTGAACATTTATTTAAAAGCTAGTAGACATTAATAGATTTTTGCTTTGAACATGGAATTCTAAGGTCCTTTCATTCAAAAATATTTTAGGCTCTCGCTGTTTAACATAACACTGTTTTAAACCATCTCCAATTTAGCCAAGCGTTTCATCTACACGCTGAAATCAGTGAGCATTGTAGAGGCGGATGACCGATTCTAGAAAAACGTAACATGTTTTTCTTCCAACAATCCAAAAAAATTATGTCACTTTTTCGCCTAAAGTCTGAGACTAAATTGTTTCTAAAGCATTCACACAGGGAATAATTTAAATCATTTATGAAGGAAGAGTATCAAATATCATGATATAAAGTAAAAAAGACTCAATACAATCTTTGCGATTCATTTTCATGAAAATCTACCTTCTTGGCAATGTTAAAAAAGAGCTTAACCACGTCAATGTTTGTTTTACTGTTTACGTTTTTTTTTTTACTGATGCTAATCAAACTTGAGCTTTGAAAGCAAATAACAACTAGATCCGTATCGCTTTCAGCTGTCCTCACCTTAAAGAACGTATTCATTTTCAAAATAGGTTCCCTTGTTTCTGCCTTTTTCTACAAGAAAGGGGAACGAGATAGGAGGACGTTTTGAACGGGATTGTGCAATTTTCTCAGCTATTTCACCATTCATCGTCTTCCCTCTCCTCGCAAAACAGGCGGAAATGTTTTTTGTATCGCAATAAAAGGAAAAATATGGACTTCATCATAGGAACTAAAATGAACGCGCGACTTTTCCTCTTAGCAATACAATTTTCGATCTACTCTAAGTTTTTCCTGGACTATTTTTGTCGTTGTTGTTTTTGATTATTCAAAACGAGAATCATATCTTTGCCTGGTTCTTCTGTTCACCCGGAGAACAAAGGAGTTTGAAAACTGAAAAAAAAAGCCTTCGTTCATTTCCAACTACACGACTGCGTACTCGTTTACAAACCCACAAATGTTCGTGCTTTTCAGTTTATCCTCTATAACGGAGAAGGTTGACAAAAGCCGTAAACTATCGAAAACGGACTTCAAAGAGGTGTCGTTTGAAAACGCGTTGTTTCTAGAACGCTGGGTTTCTAAGGTAGACAGGTGAAACAGATATTTTCAATACGTTTGAGAATAAAAAAAGACGTTTCGGCGATGTCAGGGATCTCAATATCGCTTAAGTCAAATTTGAATAATTAATCGATTGGTAACGATATATTTATATTGAAATGAGGAATGTAAAATTTCATTAGAATGAATCTAAGTATGGAAACAGACATAAAAGCGCCGTGGAAGAATGGTACTGCTCCCAGTGGTGACATAACCATTAATAAAGAATGAGCAGAGATGCTCGAAAAGGAAAACTTTCTGAAATGAGAACTCTTTAGTGAGGACAGCTAAAAAACGAAACGAAAACTTTATTAAAATTTTGATTTGGTTTGACTCGGAAGAAAACGGAAAGTTGCAGAAACGCTTTGATGCGAATGAGGCCATTTTATGGCAAAGAAGAAACTGATTGTTGTTTATCTGTTACATTGTTCTTTCAAATAATTGAAAGGATCGCAAAGAATCTTTCTCACGTTTCCTCTTGATTCAACTTTTTCTGTACGAGTAGATTAAATAAAAACTTAAGGTCGGCTGCGTAATCGGAGTCTAACTTATGCCTCGACTTTAGGATAAATGGATTTTTTTAAGCCTACTGGACACTGTTCACAAATTTCAACTTGTAAGTAAAATGTTTGGTTTAAATTGAGGTTGAAATGGGTGCCGCTAACATTTAAACTCTGTTCAAATGACGAGACTTTCAGAACTTCATAATCCGTGCTAAAATCCATCTATGTCGCACAGTCACATTTTAGGCAGTGGTCTGGCAAAAAATTGGTTTGAGGAAGTTGAGCGTCAACTAAACAATCACTGATGAATTCTAACTCATGATACGCGTCTGCAAGCGTTCAACTTGAAAACAATTTAAAACAGTATTAGTGGTGCCTGATGTTGTTGTGATTATTTTCACTGTCAATTTCAAGATTTGTTTCATACGATAAACTTAATCACAATTAGCGCGTTCATAATTTATAGGGCGCCAACTTGACGTCTCAAAGAGGCACTGATTTGTTATAATCAATTTCTTGGCTTTTTGAAACAGTTATAAATACGGCGATGTTTCAGTCGTCTTGGTGAAGCATCTTCAGCGGTAAGTTCCTCGTCGCAGAAGTCAAACTGTAAGTCGCAACAAATTCGTTATAAATTTGAGTTGCAGGCAATTGTACATCAGCGCTCAGCTCTTCACAAAACGCTTTTTGCAGAGCCAAGAAGCCTGTGTGAGAATCCTGTCAAAGCAGAATACAAACGGTCAACATGGACAAAAAACTGATTTGTGTTCTTTTTCTGATGGTGCTTGCTGTTGCAAAGATGGACGCTGGAAACCCTCCGCAAAATGCGGGTATGAGACGGGTTGGGAAAAGAAACTCTAGGGTAATTCATTTGTTTAAAGTTTGTTACAAACACCTTATTCAGTGGTTTAACATGTAACACGCACGTATGTTTTGCGAGTTGCGCAGCATTTTCCGAGCCCTGAGGGGGCGAGTAAAATAGGAACAATGAGCAACTCAAATGTCCGCACGTATTATACGATGAACCATTTATTATTCCACTAAGATTTCACTTTTTAGCTTGTAAAATTCATCCTGCGGCCATATTTGCGCATTGTATCGATCGTATAAGGAGTACGCGAACTACAAAAACAACACGAACCGAACCACTTAAGAGTTTCCTAGTGACCAACAAAAAGTATATATCACGCTTAAAAGTTTGTGTCTATAAAATTCAAGCCTGAAAAACGAAAAAAAAAAAAGACAAGAAAAAGTTTGGATTGTTCAGTGCGGCCATTTTGTTTCTCCGTATTTTTGCCCTGTCGTACAGTGTGATACCATTTGCGCCGCGTTCTCATTACCTTGTTGGTTGGTGCTATTTCCGTCTGGTTTTGGTCTCCGTCACTCGTTCGAAATGCGCTGTATCATCCTTGTTTTGTTTCCTACAGTTTCAGCTCATCAAAGTGAAGAGAGAGTTATGCGCACGCGCCAGGGCTGCCTGTGACGCGGTGAACGATGACCGAGACATCCTGGCCGACTTTGAAACTGAAGAAATGTGAAGAGGAGACAGAAAGAAAGAAAGAGAGAAAGAAAGAAATATGAAGAAAAAAACGGGAAACAAACTTAGACAATAATTTTTAATAGAGCATAATGTAATTCTTTTGTCTTTCATCAATGCATTCGATGACTAAATCCTGGGTATTTAAGGGCCAGGCATGACTAATTTACGACAAAATGCATTTTTGACTCAAAGTATTGTTAAATAATAAAAATAATTATTGAAAATGAAAGAAAACTCAACAAAGAGTGCATTTTGTTAGCGCCTAGTCCATTTTCTTCGCTCTGAAGTTCTCTTTGCATACCTCAGTGATTGCATTTCTCTTGCATGTAATCTGACATTAGGAAGACCTAAGTACCGAAAACGCTACAATCCTAAAGCCCAGCTGGAATCATGAACTAGATTGTTCCGTTATTGCCGCAACTGTCTGTGAGCGTTCGATGCAGTATCTCGGGTAGGCCACGGAGGGCTTCATAACAAAGACGGTCGAAAAGAAGAGGAAAAGAAGGGTGCCGGACGGGAAGAGCGAATAAAAAATAAGTGACCCGTCTGTGATTTGACCCTCTTTATCGCCGTAGTTTTCATTAAGTTGGCGAAAATTTTTCGTTTCCTTCTTATTCAAATGGTTTGGGTTACACTTGCCTATTACAGTGCGTCAATAATTTCAGAACAGAACGGTAAAAGAAAAATAGGAGACTTGGTTCCCAATAGAGAGTATTTTTTTTTTAATTTATATACCAGCTGACATTGTTTGCACTTGACAAAGTTTGGTCCGAGTACCCACTTAATGACAATAGTTTTGGAGCCTCATATTCTTTTAACTCGACAAGTATTAAAATCCTGGTCATTGCCATTAGTTGTTTCCTCCGAGATTGACGAAAGGAAGTTTTTAGAGCCAAGTATTTCCTTTAAAGCAGTGAAGAAAAACAACGTGGCTTCTCAGACTTCTTTACGACTTTTCGTTCGATTAGAATACGATCAAGTTCTGTTGATGGAATTGCCAGAACGTTGTTTAATACGTCAGCGAAACGACCTCTGACAGGGAAAGCGAACTGCCCTGAGACGTTGGTGAAACGAACTAGTACGTTAGCGAACTAGTCGCTAGCAGAACGTCTCCTGCTCAAAAACAAACATTTTCGATCAGATAGTGGTTTGTTCAGTCTGGTACGCGTATGTTCATCCTTCATCATGACGTCACAATGTGTCACTGCTGATATGTGACCTCTTCATTAAGGACGATAGCACCTTTGTCGCCCACTGGCTCTTTGTCCACTGAATTCTTGAGTTAAAACCCCCAAAAAAATTATCCGTTACGTCTGACTATTGCAAATGAGTAACCAAACTCGCCTTCCCTACTCCCCACGTCTTTGTGAGAATGTTCAATTTCGTAAGGTTGAAGCGACACCCAAATCCACGTCTCATCTTTCACCTGTTTCCTGTTTTTGCCGTTTGAGGCTAACTGATCTGACCGTAATCTCCGTGCTCCTTGCGCTACTGCATGCCCCACGCGTTGGCGACCAGATTCCGCGAGTCGGTATCCAAGTTGTGGTAAACGTTTTTTAACAGCTCAAACAGTGTTTTGGGCATTCCGGAAACTTCCCTCCTCTTCAAATACCTTCGCCATTTATTTGCAAATCGAACGTTGTGTTAACAACCTCAACGTGTGGCGGCATCATGCGAAGAAACGTCGGATGGATCGGGGTTTCAAAGAGCTCAGAAAGGAGGTTCCGATCGCATACAGTTGGTGAGACGATCAGGGTTCAGCGAGCTTTTAAAAAAGCTCCCCACCGCATGCTAGACAGACCGTTGAAAAGAGCTCCCGATTGCTAACAGTTTGTGGGACGATCAGGGTTCAGTGAGCTCTTAAAGAACTCCCGATCGCACACAGATTGCTGGGTGATCGGAGATTCAATGAGTTCTGAAAGAGCTACCGATCTCTAACAGTTGGTGGGATGATCAGGGGTTCAGTATGCTCTTAAAGGAGCCCCTGATTGCATACAGATTGCATGCAGATTGCATACAGATTGCATACAGATTGCATGCAGATTGCATGCAGATTGCATACAGATTGCATGCAGATTGCATACAGATTGCATACAGCTAAGAATGTATGAAAGTCATATATTTGAACTGCGGATAAAAACCTGAATGAAAGTGATCCTCGCAGTAATGAGCACTACTTGAGCAGTAGTGAAAATAAGGCCTGACAAAAATTCAGGCCTGTACGGGATTTGAACCCATGACCTCTGAGATACCGGTGCAGCGCTCTAACAACTGAGCTAAAAAGCCAACTAGGAGCTGGTCATTATGAAAAAAGGCCTTATTTTCACTACTGCTCAAGTAGTGCACATTACTGCGAGGATCACTTTCATTCAGATTGCATACAGATTGCTAAGCGATCGGAGATTCAGTGAGCCCTGAAAAGAACTTCTGATCTCTAACAGTTGGCGGGATGATCGGGGGCTCAGCATGCTCTGAAAGGAGCTCCCGATCGCATACAGATTGCTGGGCAATCGGAGATTCAGTGAGCTCTGAAAGGAGCTTCCGATCTCTAACGGTTGGCGGGATGCTCGGGGGTTCAGCATGCTCTGAAAAGGAGCTCCTGATTGCATACAGATTGCTAAGCGATCAGAGATTCAGTGAGTTCTGAAAAGAGCTCCCGATCTCTAAAAGTTGGTGGGATGATAAGGGTTTCAGTTTGCTCTGAAAGGAGCTCCCGATCGCATACAGATTGCTGGGCGATCGGAGATACAGCGAGATCTGAAAAGAGCTCCCGATCACTAACAGTTTGCTGTTCGATGCACGCCACTATGACTCAGTCTGTTAAGCAAAGGTTTGACGGCTGATGCACTTAGCAGTAATAAAATTCGCAGCGATTGCGAATGATTTTTCCAGCGAATGAGTTTCAAGAGGGGCATTGTTTAGTTTGACAGGTGTATTGTTATCCAAGGCTGATGTATTGTTATTCATATAAAGGTTCTCATCGGCCAACTTTCGAATTAAATCGGATTTTGTCAGAGGAAAGATTAATCTGCCATTTGCCGTGCGTTTATTTTTCGTGGGTAATAAAGGTTTTGAGAAAATCTCTCGAGAAAATGACTTTCGTGCGAAAAATGACCGAATTTTGAGTATTTTCAAGTTTGACGTAGATCATGGGATGAACACGACATTGAGATGAGTACGAAATTCAACATGTATGAAGAAGAAGTTCTCACAACCCTTCTGTATTTAAGTGAAACCTGAACTACCATCAGTCCCTACAGTAAACTCTTGGAACCATTTTGAACAATAAAAAGCCATAAATGCGAATGTATTAGTCTGAATTGCGCTATTTTTTTCCCTTTTTTCTAATTTCTATCTTTATCATGTACTGTTTTTTTTGTTTTTTGATTCCATTTGCTTCTTTTTTCTTTTTTCAGTCCCGTTTACCGCCGTTTGACTGCAAAACGAAACGATATCATTAAAAATAGATTTCCTCAGAATCGGTTTATTTATCGCCTATACTGATTTGTTGCATTAATGTGTTTTACTTAATCTGATCTTATTGATGTTGGCACACTTTGCTTATATCAAGGAATTCCATTTGCTATTAGATTTGATTTCTAAAACAGTAAAGGTTAAAAAAATCAAATTAAATATTAAGAAATAAAGACCAAATGTTGTATAGTATTCACCATAAAATGGTACCTGCCCGATAGTTTACTCAAAAGACTAGCAATCGCGTTTTAGCAATCAGAAAAAGACATCTTTAATAAGGTTGGAGCAATCTGATTGGATGTCGCGACGCAACATGTATGTAATCACTTGCCAAGAATCGATGCAGAATTACGAATTGGTTAAATTCAATAAATTACATTAACAACGGGAGCTAAGAGGTGGACAGAAATAAATATTAAGACTCGGAGTGCTTTACAAATTTTTTGAAAGAATGGATCTGGCAGAGCGACAGTTACAAGAAATGTTGAATGAATTGAATTCAAGAAGCCAACTCACTGTTGTGCTTGAGTCGGGGTTCTACGCCTTAATTTTATTGATGTTGTTTGTTGGAAACTTTGCCACTCTTTTTGTGATTGCGTTCAACAACAGAATGAGGACAATCCCAAACATGTTCGTTGCTTCTCTTGCCGTTTCCGACTTCTTGTTAGGGGCTCTTTCAGCTTGTCCTATTGCTTTCACTGCATTGGTCAAATCTCGGTGGCCTTTCAACGACACAACATGCCAGTATCAGGGATACGTCGCTATAACTTTGGCTGTGACTTCAACACAGACGCTAGCATTGACAGCAGTAAATCGATATTTCCGTATCGTTAGCCCGGCAAAATATCGCCGTTACTTCACCGAGAAGAAAACCCAAATCATGATTCTTGCCTCATGGTTCTATTGTATGTGGGCTCCATTGCCGTATCTCTTAAACGGCTATAGGATGGTGTTTCATCCTGCTAAGTTCTTCTGCTATCTTCAGATCGATAGCGGTCCTTTTACAGCATTTTTAGTAACTGTGTACGTAGGATTACCAACTTGTGTGGTAATCTTCTGCTATCTAAGAATATTCCAAACTGTGCGTAGTCATAACAACAACTTCCAAACCACACAAGAGTCATCTAACACGGTCAACGTAGAAGAGATCAAAATAACCCGCACGCTGTTTGTAATTGTTGTCTTTTTTAACCTGTGTTGGACTCCAATTTTGCTGATAGACATTCTGGATACGATTCGTGGGAGCTGGTCACTACCTCGAGAAGCTTACGTAGCATACAGTTTTTTAGCCACTATAAGCAGTGCAATAAACCCTATCATTTATGGAGTGATGAATAAGAACTTTCGGAGGGAATATCTAAAAATTATTCGCTGCACCTTTTTTCGCTCGCAAGTGGTCGTAGAACCATTAAATTCTAAGGCAAACCGAACCATTACGGTAGTTTCAACCGTTTAAAGTTACAAGTTGTATTTAAATTATTTGAAATTGGAAGAGAAACTTTGGTCTCCAGGATACTTAACAATTAGGTCAGGAAAAAGAAAAAAAGAGAGTGATGATTTGAAAAGGACCAACAGAGCATACAGTTGTAAACTCTCAAAGCTTAGGAAAATGATTTTCTTATTCAAATTGCGTGAAAAGTCACTTGTAAAAGCGTCATTAACAAAGACTATTAAAGATAATTTAAACACCTGTCTTAGAACCTTATACACAAACTGTCTATGATAATGTTCGATTTTGGCTCCTTTCAATGAGGGCCTTTCCGCACTAGCGAAAAAATTGTTTTTCAAGAAAAACTTTCTGTCATCACTAACATTTCACAAGTGTGGATGGGTTGTCGCGACTTGACAAATTTTGGCCGAATCGTACAAATCTTCAAATGCACCGCCGACAAAGTTTGTACCGTGTAAAAACTTGTCAAAATCGACGAACTAAACAAAACCGTGATAACTTTGTCAATCATTTGTCATGAAAGCTACGACAAGCGTGTGATTGAACTGAAACCAGTTTACTAGAAAGAGAAAAAAATTATCCTTTGATGCAAATCTCGGGAATTCTAAAATTTTAAAACGACTTAGAGTAAATCCTGTAAATTGGAGCTGGAATTCTTCGGCAATTTAGGCTGGCCGGTATTATGAACAGATCAGACGTTGACGGAATTTGACAGCCTTGAAATTTTCCATGTGGATGCAACAGACGAAACGAAAATGTTTCATGACAAAATTTGTCCTCTGATTTTGTCGGGCCAATTTTAGTCTAGACCGTTAGTGCGGAAAGCGGGCCCTGACTAAAATTGGAATTCTACGAAACAATATTAGCGATATCGCATAGCTCGCGTAAATAATCATTAGGGATGAGAGGAGACTTAGCAAAAAATCCATTAAGGAACATAGAAGCCGGAAAAAGAAAGCAGCAACAAAATCACCCGCACTGGACCACGGTTGTAATTGGTGCGGTGGGTAAACCCGAGTTGTGTATATAAGTTATCAGAATATTCTCGGAGTATTCAAAATTAAATTTCACTTTGCCCTCTGGCTTTTGATGAATAAGCGCCAACATCTAAGGCAGACTTCTCACGATTCTCACAGCGATGATTTACTTAGGACAGTAAGATGACAGAAAAACACTATCGTCGGGAATTTTTCCGGTAACATATGAAAAAAAAACTCGATATGCATCAAAATTAAATTTTTTCTTTTCGTAAATTGTCAACTGGCCTGATTACTGAATAAACAATTTTAAGATTAAAATACGCCTTGGGAAAATTTACATTTACTATACGGCAAACCTCCAAATTGGATAAAAAAAAATTGTCAATTTAGTCGCATATCTACAAAATAGCCATTCCA